AATTAAGGATTTATTTCTACCAAAGCAGAGTTGGTGATTGTTGGAAACACTAACAGAGAGATTTATTTTGTTTCTGTCCCATTGTTTTGGTCTGAGATGCTGGTGCTCTAGTGCGACATCCAGTACTTACATACTTTTATCTGAATACTTCCTCTAAATAAGAATGGAGAGATTTCTTCTCAGTTATTAAATGAAAAATGCGACTTTAAGAGTGACATGATTAAAATGACTTGAGTGGAGGGATGGACAAGTGTGTGTGTGTGTGTGTGTGAGAAAGGAGAGAGAGAGAGAGAGAGAGAGAGAGCCTGCTGGCTGACAGATTGGCCTGCTGTGTCTGGATGTATTGAACATGGAGAGCTCAGTCGGGGCTCGGAGGCTGCCGATCGATCGACGAGGATCTACAGCAGAGAGGTTCTTTGTTTGTGCTCGACTCTGCTGACAGCAGGATGCTGCTGCTGCTTCACACACACTCAGCCCGCAACCAGATAAACCACGACAACATCACCCATCATGGTCTCCGTCTAAAATATGAACCGTGGGACCAGCTTTGATTTGTCAGGGGTTTATGGAGAGGGTGATGGGGGGTTAAGGGAGTTTGGGGGCTTGGTGTCTTATTACTTATCATTACTGGACAACAATAATAATTCTGTTGTAATGATCACTTTAGAATGAGTCACTAAGTCGTCAATATACAGCAGCTTGGTCCCTCTTGCATCAGTTGTGGAGTCTAACTGGATGTTGCATATTAATTGTTATTAACGTCCCTGCCGAGCCCTTCATGTGCGAAACTGACCCTCGAAGGGGACCAACACCATCCTAGTTTGAAGTGCTTCTTTGACGTCATCACAGTAAGATTTCTATTGCTGTCCCTTAAATAGTCGACTAAACCGCCTGCTCTGGACTCTGTTCGGGAGCTGCACCTTGTCCCCAGGATGACAGCATCATGGTATACACACTTCCTGTGTTACACTTGTAACACAGTAATTTGCCCTATTAGCTACTGTGCTCGGACTGTGGGCTACTGGTTACCAGTACTGGTTTGTTACACCACTAGCACAGGAGCTTTGGCCTGCCAGGTTTTCAGGTTTTCTGGCCCGGGTTAGGGGACACAGCAGCTGCTGGGGCGTGGGGAAAGAATAAGCCAGGCTCAAAGTCAAAGTGAGTTTAATTTCTGACACCGTCCGAGGCCAGGTGAGTTGATACGTGTTTTGAACAACCAGACTATGTGATGTTACATTGTGTTGAAACAAATGAACTAAATGTTCAGTCTCCTTGCTGGTTGTTCTGACAAATTCACAATCATTACTGCTTTTTCCGCTAAAATATATAAAATATATATTGAAATATTCAAAGGTCCAGTGTGTAACATTGAGAAGGACACCACGGGTCACCTTCCACAGAGTCCACCATATTGAACCATCATGTTTCTACAGTGGCCCTGAACAGACAGACCAATCACTGGCTGCAGGTAAAGCCTTTCTCCTACATCACAGCCCGTTCTCATTCCCAGGTCACCACATACAGACACGAGCAGTGTTCAGTTAGTTGCGAACTGCAACTTCACAGCTAGATGTCACTAAATCCTACACACTGGTCCTTTAATTAATATCGTAAACACATAATAAGTAGTCGACCATTGGTAGTTAACAACTACTAGTCAGCTCACCTAAATGGAATGACATTGTTAATATATTTAATTCCACCTGTGCTTTTCCTGCTTTGACAAGTCAAAATGTCTGCTGTGAAAAGGGTCTGTGACTTCAATATGACTTCACCAGCAGCTCCAAACCCTGCAGCAGCACACGATGATGAGTGGTTAAAAGCTGACAGGATGATTCACAGCATAAAGTCCCAACAACACGAGGATGTTTCTTCAGACCGATCAGCTCACTTCAGAGAACTCATCAACCAGGACCGAGTTTTTATTCTCATCATCACATCATTTACTGTGAGGCGCCAAGGCTCGACACAGAGACCACACGATACATACAAAGCCAAAGACGACACACACACGGCTCACATTAGCAGGCAGAAGAAGGTTAATTAGATGTCGACTGAAAAGGTTAAAGAATCAGAACAGATCAGCACAGAAGCAGCTGCACAAGATTGTACCTCTTTATTTTCAGTCTTCCTTCTCAGTTTTATTCAGTATAGTACAACCTTAACAGACGTATGTTTTTCAAACATTTTTAATAAGATTAGGACTCTTAGCCACACTGATTCAAGCTTTTAGATGTTAACGTAGGTCATTTGAAGGACTCCATGTTTGTAATGGCTGCTCCATTAAGTCAAGGCTCAGCATCAGAACCGACCTGTAACCTGCATTTATCTCTAACTCACCTCTGGACTGAATAAATATTCCCAAATAAATAAAAATGCAGTGACTCCTGCAGATTGTACAGGTAAGCTCAGTGTTTCTAAAACTTCTTACACCGCGTGCCGCCTCAGAAAATATCAGGCTCTCCCATTACAACCACTATGTTCAAGGTTAAAATACAGCAGCGTAGGGCGACCCTATTCAGCTACAGAAGCAGGAGGCAGGTTTATTCCTCATAAGATTATTTATTGTTGAATCCTGAAAAGAACCAGTTCAAGAACCAGAGCTAATTTGGTGGAAAAGGGGTCCTCCTGTTCCATACTTCTCTTCCCAATAGTTCCCCACAGATCAAGGATGTGTGATATCGAAAATTAACAGACAACATAATTACCATTTCATCAGTGAATTTCTACAATAACGTCATAGTCACATTCTACAGGCTAATAATGAAGTATTACAGAAGACCAGTAGGTTGAATCAGTGCATTTATATTTGTCAACAAATGCTATAAAAAATATAAAATGAATGTACATTTTTAATACTTGTAGAAGAGAGAAGACTATCCATATCTAACTCCAGAATTCACCAACTGTTGTCTAATAAATACAGCCCTCCACCTGAAGGTCATACCACAGAAATGTTGTTTAATAAATGAATATTTTCTGCAGTAATCGTGACAGTGTGTGGGAGTCGCTCATTGTTTTCAAGCTGCACCTTCCTCTCCACACATTCAGGTGTGCAGAGGAAGTATTTTCATCCACAATGTATTTTATAGTATTATATGTTTCAATTGATTTATTTCATTTAGTTAATATTTCAGAGATTCCTCTGCGTACCACTAGAATCAGCTCACCTACAACCAGAGGTACACGTACCATAGTACCATAGAAGCAGTGCTATAAACCATTTTCAGTTGTGGTTAGTAAGCTGACACAGCTGGATACCTTCATTAATGATTTAAATCTGCTGACAGGATTTAACTGACTGTGTGCTTTTCTGACAGTTAAGAAAGAGTCACAGTTTATACACCATTTGTTAAGCAACCTCCAAACAAGTAGCAAAGGTAGAGAGGGAGTGCCTTCTATCAAAAAACACCTCTACCAAAGTTTGGACCGACCCTTCAACCGACTCTTCAGATGAACCAATTTGACATGCCGGAATTGAAAACGAGTGCCTTCTGAAAGTGCAACAGAAAAACAATCTCTGCTTTTACAAAAATAGGAAAAATAAATTGTGCACAGAAGACAAATTGGAGTGAAAAGGGTGGAATTGTCATCATCATGTACCTCAATCTGCAGCACCATTTGATTTGACAATGATTTCAGGTCACGGACTCACAGAGCTTTTATCATCCCCGTAAAAGAGGTGCTTTTAAACCATTAATACCTCTAAGAAACGCAGTGGAAACTGTTTTAGAGGTGGATGTGTTTTCAGTTGACAGGTGTGTATATGTTTGGAGAGTAAAAGACAAACAAAGACGAGAGCTTAAGTCAGGTTTAATAATTTATCTCAGTGCATCGCCTGCAGGGGAATCACCAGCTCCTCCACTCAGCTGAAGCCCTTCCACATGCAGATGGAGGAGATACCGTCTCTCCAGGGATGCCCTCCAATTAAAACCCCCCAGCAGCCATATTAAACAACAAACACTGTGGTCGGTGCTCACAGATGGTCGCAAAATGTCTCTGTTGCCAAATTTGGCAGCGGCGAGGCTTTCAGCTCGACTCCAACGAGACAGAAAATATCAAACTGTTCATCAGGGAGGCGTTAATGGAGAGGCTGTAAACCTCCACACAACCTTTATTAGGGAGTTAATATTCAACGAGATCTTTGAATGCTGTGTTCAGGCTTCATTCAGCCGCGTTCAGACCTCAGCAGTGATTAGTTTCTTCACAATACAAGCAGTTGCTGTTTGTGGGAAGCAGATAAACTGTAATTGATTTGTGTTTGACCTGTCACAAAGTGATGCAAAAAATGAAATCTTTAAACAGCCCAAAGAAGAAGAACACTCACCGTCTCCGTCTCCCGAGCCGGATCCAGGATCTGTAAAGACACAAGAAACACAGTCAGTTATCGTTTCATGAACTATTATTAAGCATTTATCAATGGGTCAGACAATAATTACAGAAGATTGCTCTCATCGAGCTTTATTTATGTCTGTAGGTGGACTTGCAGTATGTTTAATAGACTGGACAAATAAAAATGTCCGTAGTCTCTGTAACGTTGTTGTGAAGGTCAGTGTAATTCACAATCTTGGCAGTCTTGACTAAAATGGGCTAGACGTGGAGCGTGGGTGGAGCTGTGACGGCACCCACATGTCACTCAAAGCATCCACACCTTTAATTCTGCATAACTGTAAGCCTTAATATGATTTAAACCAGTGAGTTGTATAAAAACTCTTGTCATGAATGGGGAAAATTAGCTTTAGAGACCAAAAGTGTTTTTGTACCAGGCTGTCAACATGTTTGTTTCTGCTGTAAAGTTGGACATTTTAATATTAGGCGCTTATGCTTTATTGATTGACTCACTGCTGGAGACCAGCCCTCTATGCGCTGTAGAGAACCTCCAGGTTCTTTGTTTCCGGGTGGGGATGGCTTTACAACGCATACAGGGGGGTTGCCGCTTGGGACATTTTTTTACATAGAAAGGTTTCTGTAATGTATATTGCACACATTTTTTTTTTTTTTTTTTTTTAAAAAAAAAAAACCCTTGGGTTTTTTTTTTTTTTTTCGGATACTCGTCAAGAACAAGCAGCTACTCGCTGAACCATAGTTCTCAGTTACAACAGTATTATATAATGGGTATGTGTTTGTCACCCACTCTTTGCCACAGGAGCTGGGGTCAGTAAAGTGGATTTAAAGTAAAAAATATAAAAATAAGTAATGAGAACTACTCATGTTGCTTTTTTAAAACTGGACTTCTGCTCTTTACTCGAGTATATTTTTAAGCCAGTAATCT